CGCGCCCGGCCTATAATTCAGTCTTAATGCAGCTCAAACGTAATGGGTTCACTCCGTGTCTTCCGCGTTGCTGACTGGCCGTTTCTCGCCAGGGTTCATGAGAAGCGCACAGGCCTCCAGTGGGTCCCCGGCACTGCCTCGGAAGCAGAGAGACAAGTCACCCAGCAGCCTCTTGGAAGATGCCAAAGAGACATGCTTCACCAGGGACAGGAAGGGAGGCTTCTTCAGCTCGTTCATGAAAAAGAGAAACGCCCCCACGCCCCCCAAACGCAGCAGCTCCTTCCGAGAAATGGAGAATCAGCCCCACAAGAAATACGAACTCACGGGTAACTTCTCGTCTGTGGCTTCTCTGCAGCATGCCGAGGGGTTCTCTCTCACTCCTGCCCAGCAAGAGGCGAACCTGGTGCCACCCAAGTGCTACGGGGGCAGCTTCGCGCAGAGGAGTCTCTGCCCTGACGACGGCGGCGGCGGTGGCGGCGGGTGGTCCGGCCTCACGGGCTTCTTCACGCCGCGCTTAATCAAAAAGACCCTGGGCTTGCGAGCAGGTAAACCCACAGCCAGCGACGACACTTCCAAGCCGTTTCCAAGGTCAAACTCTACATCTTCCATGTCCTCAGGGCTTCCAGAGCAGGACAGAATGGCGATGACCCTTCCCAGGAACTGCCAGAGGGCCAAAGTCCAGCTGGAAAGGACCGTGTCCACCTCTTCTCAGCCGGAAGAGAACGGGGACAGGGCCAGCGACGCGCTTCCAAAAAAATCAGAGGACGGTGCTGCTCCAACCAGGGAGAGACCAAAAGCCAAACTGTTGCCCAGAGGAGCCGCAGCTGCTCCTCTCAGAAGCCCCTCTGGGGACCCAGCCGTCCCCGAGAAGGACGCCGCGGGGCCGGGCAAGGAGAGGAACGGCGGGGCCCGGCTCGGCATGGCCGGAGTCCCGGAGGACGGCGAGCAGCCCGGCTGGTCCTCCCCGGCCAGGGCCGCGGCCGCGCTGCCCGCCGCCCACAGCCACCGAGTGCCGGTGCTCATCTCGCCCACGCCGAGGCCCGCGGCGGCCGACGCGCAGCTCGTGGGCACGGACTCGCAGGGGAACAAGTTCAAGCTCCTGTGCGAGCACCAGGCCGCGGCCTCTGCAGACAAGGACCGGCCCCGCCGGCTGAAACCAAAGTGCGCCCCGCCCCCGCCCCCGGCGCCCAGACCGCCGCCGCAGCCGCCCGCCTGCTCGGAGCCCTCGGAGCCCCCGCAGGAGCCGCCGGAGCCGCAGGAAGCGGGGAAGAGGGCGGCTCCCGGGCCCGCGCCCAGCGCGGGGAAAGCCGCGCGGCCGGCGATGCCTCCGCCCCAAGTGCCTCTGCCCGCGGCCTCGGCCTCCGTCTCGCCGGCCAAGATGGCCAACGGCACCGCGGGCGCCAAAGTGGCTCTGAGGAGAGCCAGGCAGGCCGCCGAGAAGCTCTCGGCAGACAAGGTCAGCAAAGAGGCCCTGCTGGAGTGTGCCGGCCTGCTGTCCAGCGCCATCGCGGAGCCCGTGCCCCACAGCCAGCTGCTGGACGCGGGCCTGCAGCTGCTCGAGCGCTGCTCGGGCTACGTGGACTGCATCCCGCACACGCGCACCAAGTTCGCCTTCCGCGAGGCCGTGAGCAGACTGGAGCTCAGCCTGCAGGAGCTGCAGGTGTCCTCGGCCGCCGGCGTGCCGGGGGCGAGCCCCGTGCTCAGTAACTTGCTGTCGTGTGTGCAGGAGATCAGCGATGTCGTGCAGAGGTAGCCTCCGTGGCCTCGGGACGGCGCCGCGTTTCTGAGGGGAGGGGAAGGGACGTGTCTCCGTGTTCCCGTTTCCGGAAAGCGAAGGACCGGTGCTCGGGGTGTGCCAAGCGCCTCAGACCCCGAGCGCTCTCGTCTGCAGGCTCATCTCAGAAACCGGACGCAGCCGCGCCGGTCCGGGAGAGGAGGACCGGGCGGGGGCACCGCGCGGTGAGACACGCAGCCCGTCCCTGCCGGGGGCGGCGCGAGGGCTGGACAGGGCCACGCTGAGCACGGCGCCGGGCTGTGCCCGCTCAGGGCTGCCGCTCGCCCTGCGCCACGCGGAAGGGAACCGACTGGGCTGCGGGTACCTGACGCGCCTGGGGGACAGGCGAGGGGAGAGCTGGGGACGCCCGAGCGAGCTGCATCCGGGCAGCGGGGAGCAGCTTCCCCGGGTCACTGCTGCTCGAATAACCGCCGCATCGCTAGAAAGCAAAAGCTGGAGACGCGGCGCCGCGTGTGCGCTCTTGTCCTGTTTTCCGCTGGCGCGTCGGGGGTGCGGGAGGTAGAGGGCGCTGAGGAGTTTGGTCAGGGAGGCTGACGCGTCCTCCGGAATCTCGCACTGCTCCCGTCCGGTGCGTCGCCGCCTAGTGGGCCAGGACCGGCTCCTGCCTGCTGGTGGCTGGGCTGTCCGAGAGCCACAGCGAAGGGAGTCCCCTGGGGGCAGGCTGTTTCCTTTACTGCCGGCAGCTTTCAGGGCATTAACCAACAGGGATTCTGAAGACAGGGGTCCCCACAGGTTCTCGCCGGGGCGGGAATCCTTTCCTGGCGCGGTGCCCCCGCGTGGACGCGCTGGCCGCGGTGTCTCCTCGAACCCGCCAGCCGGGCCGGAGCCCGCGACTGCGAGGAGACGCCGGCTCCACGCTGAGGGGCGTTTCTCTGTTCCCCTCCCTCCCTCGGCACCTTAAGGCCCAGCTCGGCGGGGTGGGGAGGCTCGCTCGTTCTCTCCCTCCCTCTGTGGATTTGAAGTGAACTTCCCCGAAATGATCTCACGTGCTCGTCTCTCACGTAGTCCCCCTCCCTGCACCCCACCCAAGCACCGAGCTGCTCGCGCAGGCCTCATTGGGAATATGCTTTGTTTTGCCATTTCACCTCTGTTTTAAGAACGCATAATTGAAGGAGCAGGTCATTTTCAGGAAGCTCCACTTAGACCCTGGAAACCTAGTAACTTCACCACCGAGTATGTTTTGCCCTCGAGAAACTGGCCTTTCCTTCCCTCATTCGTTGTTGTGGAAGCTAAACTAGGACCCCACGGAGGTGAATCTCATGGGTTAGATACTAATCGTCTTCTTGGTATTAGGTCCAGTTTCAGTTACTGCTTCATTCTCTTTTTAAAGCTTTATGAACACTTCCCCCTCTCCCCAAGAAGAACCCAGTACATAATATATTTTTTTCCTCAAAGGAATGTTAGCTTAGGAAGACAGGCGTTCAACCTCGAGAAGTTTTCTTCTTGGCTCTGTCGCCCACCCGCTGTCAAGCCACAGCCCATCTCTTAATCCAGTAAATGAGGCAATAGTACATGTTCGCAAAGGCGTTTTGCAAATGAGTGTGTAGCTATCCCTTTGAGAGTCTCTGGAAAGCTCTTTAGTGCAGTGTTGTTATGTTGAATTGTTTTTCATTCTCTTCTTTGATGAGTACCAGCTATTAATAAAGTTTAAAACTGCTGAGATTGTATCAGTTGGGCTAGAATACTAGGGGGAAGCTATGTTTTGAATAGAGTTTGGCATCTTTGACCAAGGAGGAAATTGAGTTTTCATTAGAAAGAAAGGAAACCTTGATTCTTATTGCTGCTCCCGAAGAGGCCGGGTTTAGAGGAGGATTAGAGGATAGCAGACAGCGCTGGGCACTCCTGGCGGACGTCGGCGACTCCGGCCGGCGTGTCACCTGCAGCTGCCGCACAGGCAGGCGGTGAGCGGGTGACTTTCCTGGTAGTGGCTGGAGGAGAACGTGGATGTAGAAACCAGCAATCATCCCACCTTCTTCCCTGCCACTCGCCTCATCATTCATGTCCGTAAACTTGAACTCGTTTTAGCAGTTAGCCTTTTAAGGGTGGGGAGGGGACAGCTAAAACTTTAGAATATTATTATGCTGCTTTTTAAGTTTATCCCTGTCACTGTGGGATGCAAGTTAAAGGATTGTAATTGTTTTTCAGGAGTATTTTTTTAATTTTTTTTTTTTTTTTAAGCAAGGGCTCTATTTTTCCTCGAGAGTTCTGAAAATAAGCCTTGGAGAAACACTACTGAGTATATTTAAGCTCCCCGGTTTCTCACTGAACAGTAATCTTAAGGGTGGGGGTGGGGGCTGTGTCTCACTCAGGGGCAGCACCTAGCTCTGTCTTGCCTACAGTAGGTGCTCAGTACATGAATTAAATTGATTTTTGTCAGCGTTGTCAAGAGCAGCATGGACTGTCGCAGCACACCCCCCCAACACGGTGCTGGGACCGGGTGATTCCAGGGGTCGAGGGCTCAGGGTTCAGGTTAAAGAGGCACTGTCAACTACTACCAAGTACAATTTAGGTTTTTCCTTCTTCTACTTAAAAAACCTCATGTAAATTAAAGGATTTGAATCCAAAGCAGAGAAAACTACTTCTAGAAACTAAAAATATAGTTTAATTTTATCTAGTCTAAAAGCAAAGCAAATAGCAAGAGAACAGTCCCTTGTACAAGGTATTGACAGTTTTTCTAAAGTGGTTAAACTGTATGTATGTGTGTGTGTCCGTGTATGTGTATGTATGTGTACATACACACACACACACGTACCTTTGGGCTGCCACAGCTTGATTCCTTTCATGTACAGGTAATACGATTTCAGTGTAGACTTCTACCTTAAAATGCAGTGTTTTGTGTTGAATACATCTAAAGTATTTTCTTAAAAGGCTTTGTGTAAAATTGTGTGTGTTTCCCTACAGACTTCCATCATGATTTTGAGAAATAAAGCCTTAAAAAAATTTTACCCGAAGAAATTCACTCAGTGTTTTTCTACATGACCTCTGTATATAGAGGTCATTATAGTGGAGACCCCTTACTAGCAGTACTTTACAGTAGAAATTTTCTTACAATTCAATTGAACGTTGGCTAGCAGAATAGTTAATAAAACATGCTGACTCTGCTAAGGCTCAGCCCGTGTTTATTTAACTGAAGTCACGGAGCTTTTGAGTGTAAGGGATGCAGTGTAGACGGTGGTTTAGAGTCCAGGCTCCAGTGCCAGTCTAGAAGGCAAGTCATCTAACCTTCCTGCGCCTCCGTTTCCTCGCAGTAAAACAGGGATGACAGCAGCAGCTGTCTCAGCATTGCTGCAAGGACTGAATAAAGTGATGTTTGTGAGAGACGTAGCTGGGGTGCCTGGCACACAGCGGGCACTCCGTCAATGTTAACTGTCACTATCACCATTACCGCCTCGTCCAGGCCTGTGCAGCAGAATCCCGAGGTGGAGTTCAACAAATAATGAATTAGCCTTATTGCAGATCAGAATTCCCAGTGGGGTGGGGTCTCCACGGATGTATTTTCCGATAATCTGTCCAGGTCTTTCAGACACCCAGTGCCACCTGAGAACTGTCAGTGCCCCAACCCATTCATCTACAGATCAAGAAACTGGAGGAGAGGACGGTTCAGTTACTTGCCCGTTATCTCAGCACAGTGAACTAGTGGCAGAGCCACGGCTGGAATTCGGGTCTCCCGACTTTATGGTTGGGGGTCTCACTGCCTTGTGAGACGCTGCAACACGGTGGCTCAGACAATCAGGCCGCGCTGGTGCCGCGCACTTTCCAAAGCACACGCCCCGGCACTGAGCTTCAGGGGCTTGAGCGCTGAATGACGGGAACACGAGCAAAGCAAGCATTCTGTGGAACTCAGCAATTAAGATTACATGGGGTCGTTCTTTTGGACAGACCTCAGCAACACAGCAGTGTGCACTTTGTAGTAAAGAAATACCAACGGAAGGTTTGTTGTTTTTTTTTTAAACTAGTCCTACATTCCTTTTTCTTAAAAAAATTTTATTCAGTAAACATTTTAAAGACTATGATATAATGTATATGAAAGCACTTTGAGAAAGTATCAAATGTAATATAACTGTAAGGTTGTATTATTAATGTCTGTTGAGAAGATAAAACAGTTGATCAGATGCTGATTGACTGGAAGACTGACTTGTGGGGGACCCGACCACGCAGGTATATGATCACCTCTGTAATCTGTCGCATTCACAGACGTGAAACTGCTGAATGAACAGTGCAGGTGTGGCCGGTGTCTGCTACAGCTACAGTTGTAGGTCGGAGCTCCGTAACTCAGAAAACGAGGGACCAACGTTTGGTTAACTTCGATCTTTACAAAGCCGCCACGTGTCATGTGCTGCAGGTACGGAAGCTCCTCCGAGGACCCGAGGACGAGGCCTCTCGCTCTTGCACGGCTGTTCATCGTCCACTGCACGCTCGGCCACTTACTGTCCTAGACGTGCTGGGAGCAGACGCGTCGCCTGTTGGTGTTGACAGTGTCTTTTTAAACCTGTGTCCTGTGTGGTTTTGTTGTTGGGGGGCGAGGCGGGGGACGGAGGGAGCTGGGTGGCCACGGAACTGGTGCACTCTGGGAATTACTTTTCTAGGATTTCCTACTGTTATAAATGGCATTGACATTTATCATCCATCTTTATTTTTTTGAATAAAAAGAGTAGCTGAACTTAATTCACCTATTGGATTGTAAAATACGAGTAAACTGCATTGGTGTCCACTTTCGAGTTACAGCTGTACATCCTTCTGACCCCCTCCCCCACTCCTTCCGTTTCTGCTACTGATGTCATTGTTGTTATCAGGCTCTGTCCCCGTAAGGGTTCAGACGGGGTTGACAGGGTTATCTGTATTTTCGTTCTTGATGATTTTTGAGTTTCATCATCTTGCTTGCATTGACTTGCTCCACCTGGATTTGGGGGTCATCTCCGTGCCCCCAGTATCTGTTATGATCAGTCCTCTTCATGTAGGCG